TTTTCCTTGCCCCCGGTCACCCGTACCCCTGATTTTGCCCTGGGCACCGTAGAACTGCCCATATATATATATATATATATATATATATATGTCTTCATTTCAAGAGCTATATTTAGCTACTCTGGAAAATAGGATACTGTACATGTTCGGTCTGGGAAATACATTTTATATATGGCATCATAACATCTTGAGTTACTTCATACAATATATCCCGCCGTTCACCATTAGTTAATAAATTTCTCAATATATACAGTCGGTTTAAACATAAAATATGACAGATGTTTAAAATTTGAGCACGAAAGGAAAAAAAATTATTTTATAAAACTGTGAAAAATTAAGTTTAAACTTATCCTAATGAATTATAGGTATTCCCATTGTAGATTTGTTGGGAACGAACAAAAAAATACTAATAAAATTGGGTTTGTTGTCTAATGTAAGTCCAATTGTAATAAGTTTTCGTTGAATTGGGCAAACCATAAAGGGAAAGAAAAACAACTGAACTCTCCTCTCTGTGATTTTCAACTACTCATCTTTCTTCTTTGTAAAGGTTACCACTTACCACACTCATGAGTCATAATCCATATACTCATAAACAATTAAAATGGTATATAAAGAAACAAAGAAGCTAGCTTTAATCTGCTGCAGTGATACCGACAGTTTGGTGGTCAGATTCCGGCGACATCTCCGGCGACAGAAGGTTCAAAGGGTGGCAACTGACACGCGTCCGGGTGCGGATAGAATAACAACATTCTTAATGTTGTTATAGTAACAACAGAATTCATTAAGGGTAAAAGAGTAAATTAACTATACTATCAATCAACTGAGCATTTGCTCCGGCCAGACGATGCTGAACATTTGCTCCGGCCAGACGATGTCGAACGAAGACAACCGAGCTGTCGCAACCTCCTTCAGCTGGCCGCCGCCGTCGAGGTTATCATACAGGACCGAGGCCTCGACGACGTCGTAGTGTTCGGACATGACGGAGCCGAAGGTGAGGAGCCAGTCGCCCAGTCGGCCTCGACGAGGAGCGAGCTGGCGTTGCTGGAGGAGACGGCGGCGGACGTGAGCTTGACCCCTGCGATATCGGCGTCAGGTTCGCCGTCACCGCATCCGATATCGGCATCTCTTCCGCCAACAAATAAATCGACCCAAATTCGGCGGGGTTTTCCTCCCCACAATTCGCTGGGATTGGATTGATCGTCGGGAGAAAAAAGGAAGTGTTTCAGCGCGGGGGATTTTGTGGAGGAAATGGTGGCAGTGAGGGTTTCTTCTTGGACTTGATGCATGGAAGGTCCAAGAAGATGAAGGACTACCTCCTTGGCGCCGCCATGAAACACGACGCTCCTCTCCTGGAAGACGTGGTCGTGCTCAAGGGCGTGGGTCACTTCCTCAACGAAGAGAGCCCCCAGGAAGTCACCAACCACATCCACGACTTCTTCAAGGACAAGTAGTGCTACTGCACCTCTTCATCTTCTTCTTCTTCTTCTTCTTCTTCTTCTTCAATAATACCTCCTAGAGCTTGTTTGAGAACTATTGCTTCTCCTTACGTGGCGGGGATGGTGGAAGGTCCAATCTTTAAGAAAGGTTGTCTGTAGGGTAGCGGCCAACCGGTGGGCTTGAGTTTTGTCCAAGAAAATGAAATGGTCGAGCCTAAATCCCATATGAAAATTTGAAGAATTGCATCTCGGGTCAACGAAATTGAAAAGCCAACTACTGCAATTTAACTCATTATAATTTTCATTGCAGATATGAGATACACCAATTTAGTTCACTTGTAATTGCAATTAGTGAGTACAAGTCAATTTTATAATTTTCCTAATGCAGAGCACAAGTCACTAAAACAAACCAAAAATAGAATAAACAAAATCACAAATATTTCTAACACCAAAAACCCCCTAGTGCAAACCACAAACGCAATAAAACAACCCACAAAAAATTACCGGAAACCTCCAAATGCAAACCACAAATTCGCTAAAACATATCAGAAACCCCACAAAGCAAACCATAAATATTTTGCAAAGCACGCCAGAAACCCTCTAATGCAAACCACAAACACGGTAAAGCAAACCAAAAATGTCCTAATGCATACCACAAATATATTAAAACAAACCAGAAACCTCGCAAAGCAAACCACAAAAGTTTCGAAAGCACACCAGAAACACAATAAAGCAAACCAGAAACCTCCTAATGCATACCACAAATCTCCTAAAACAAACCACAAACCTCACAAAGCAAACCACAACATTTGCGAAAGCACACCAAAAACCTTCTAATGCAAACCACAAACCTTGTAAATCAAACCACAAAAAAGCAAACCATAAACGTCCTAATGCAAACCACAAATATATTAAAACAAACCAGAAACCTCACAATGCAAACCACAAAGTTTTTGAAAACAAACCAGAAACTTCTTAATGCAAACCACAAACACAATAAAACAAACCATAAAAGGCATAAAAAAATATGAGAAACCAAACCATAAATCTCACAATGCAGACCATACATCCGGTGGTCGTTGACCGGTCAACGAAGACCGTTGACCGAACTCCGGTGATCGTCAGTGAGCAGATTCCGACGCCGATAGGCATATTCCGGCCCCGGTGACTAGATTCCGACGCCGGTAAGCATATTCCGACGCCGGTAAGCATATTCCGACGCCGGTTAGCATATTCCGACTCCGGTAAGCATATTCCGGCCACAAAATAGCATATTCTGGCGACAAAAAGCATATTCCGGCGACCGGCGACCATTTTCCGGCGACCGGTGGCAGAATTCCGACGACCAAATTTTTGGGCTGAAAATAAAAAAAATATATTTTTTTATTTTTTTATTTTTTTTATTTTTATTTAAATAGATTTTTCATAATGACAATTATACCCCTGCTTTGATTTTACACTAGGTCAACTCATCTAATAAAAAGTCATCACAATCCTATCTTCCTATTGGTTGGGGACTAGTGTTGTTACAATTAGGGGTGTACATGGGTCGGGTGGTCCGGGTTGAGGCATTTTAATCACCCGACCCATGCACTACGGTTTGGGAAATATTAAACCCAAACCCACCCAAAAAAATCGAAACCCTACGGTTTGTTTATAATTGGGTTGGGTCGGGTTGGCGATATTTTTAAGTAAAAACCCAACCCAACACAAAACATGTAATTATTCTACATCATAAAAATATTTTATAACAAATTAAAAATTCAAACGAATAAACCGAGGTGAAAGGTATCAAAATTCACAAATATTGTTTGAATTTTAATAAAACTTGATTTACTTCAACTTATGTCTAGTTTTTTTCACGACATTTGTTGAAATAGGCTAAGTACGCATCCATAATATGATATTCTTTTAAAATTGTACACAAGAAAAATACGTGAATCATAGCTATATTAAATATATGTATAAACTTTAAGTCGAAGAATGCATTAGATTAGTGAGACTTTAAGAGAAAAACATGACGAAATATCTTAATTTTCTCATAAGTATGACTATATACGACATAAATATTTTTTTGGATACGAACTCATATCAATAATTGGAACACGGGTTGGGTCGGGTTCTACGGGTTGTGTAATCCAAAATCCAAACCCAACCCAAAAGAGGCGGGTTGTACAAATGAAAATCCTCACCCAACCCAAAACCTTCAATTTAGCGATAAATACGGGTGGGTTGGGTCGGGTTGGACGGGTGGGTCGGTTTGCGGGTGTGTTTGTTCACCCCTAGTTACAATAACAACACAATAGGTGTTGTTACAATAACCGGTCCCCACGCGTCCCGCCAGAAATATTGTATTTTATCTTGCCTGTCCTCCCGAAGTCGGGGATCGCTAATACGTGTCCATGTATCACCGGCCACTCCGCTTTGGTCTTCTGTGGGGCCCACCGCGGCTTACAGCTAAGCGTTGTTTTGTCCTTTTTCTCGCTGTCGAAAACGAGACCGAGTTTCTCGTGCTTTTGTCTTGTCTCCTTCCCATCCTCCAATGGTTAGGCGCCAGCTATGCAGTGTCAGAATGACTGCACGAGCGTCAGCAAAGCTTTAGTTGGACACGTGGCTCAATCATGCACGAGGTTTCTATATAGTTGACCTCGTGAATTAGCGTTTAGTCTTTGTTTTTTTTTTTTGGCTGAATTCTTCATTTTCTGTAAAGAGTTTTGTTAGTGACAACTGACAAGCTTGGCCAAGAGAGTTCTGAATCCTTCGAGAACTATTTATTCGCCTCCCTTCACTTAAGGGGTCGTTTGCTTGAGGGTTTTGATGATGGATTTGGTCATGGAAATATATCCATCATGGACTTGAACCGAAATCCATCGTTTGCCTTAGGGAATTAGGGAGATGGAATTTGTGGGGCCCACCTCTTTTGGGGTTCCAAATCCGTGGACCCCACGGACTTGGAAGTTCCACCTCTTGAGGTGGGATTTGGGTGATGGATTAAAATCCATGATGGTAAATTACCTTTCTACCCTTAATTATTTCTTTAATTACAAATTTGTCCTACTTTAATTCAATGGTCATGCAACTGTAAACTTTTATAACTTCGTATTTTATAAATATGAGAATTTATCATTTCATTTTGTAATATCGTATTTTATTTAAATATGAATGTATATGTGATTTGTTAGATTCACCTAGAAACACTTTATGCTCATCTTGTACATTATTATTTGATTGATTGTCGAATTCCACATCGGTGAGTTAGCAAGAAGATGATGAGTTGTAGCAATAAAGCGAGCAATTGACTGCAATTGATACATAATATTGCGTACATTATTAGATGAATTGTTAATTAGTGTCAAATTGTAATACATTTCTATTTTTGTAGTTGAATTATTAATCTATAAAGAGTTTAAAATTTCTTTCTATGTTTTGGATTAGTTTTAAATGAAAGATTTGGATTATAATATAGAAATATAATTAAATAAGGATAACTAGATAATTTGTATTTAATATCCACAAATCTAATCAAATCCATCAAGCAAACAATAGACTTGTTCAAATCCATAATGCCACCAAATCCATCATATATCCATGGTTTTCCAAAACCCAGGTTTTACCAAAACCCTCATTTTTCAAATCCATGAAGCAAACGACCCGTAAATTTCCGTCTCAAACGTCGATTAATTCATGCAAATTTAAAAGTAAAAAAACCGTATTATTACATTTCACCTCGCGCGGTAAATTCAATCCTTGAACCAACAAGAAAAAAGGTAAAGTACAAAATAGTTGTCAACATTCGGCAAGAAATGCGAAAAAAAGGCAAAGAATACCTTGGTCCCCGCTCAGCCGGTTGCTAAATACGATATAATGCGTGATTATGAAAAACCTGACGAGATGCACACATCATGCATGCGTCATAATACAGATAAAATTTCCTGGATGTATATCAACAAGAAAAGATGGAATTAATAATTATGCTAATTAAAAAAAGATAAGGAAACACTATATAACACAGCCATGCAATGCATGACGCTTGTTCAAGCAAATATAAAGAAGAAGAAGATTACTGTCGCGTCGTTTTCATTAATTGTCTCCCCAACTCCGTGACAAAACGACATGGCATTAGCGTTTAATTAGTGTTAAATTATACGGCGCTTGTTTGTATTGGTCTCTGCTAATTATGGTCATTGATTACACAACTTGGTCCGTTTTGACTAGGAGCCGACCTTTGGAAAGGGAACAACGTACTTAGGGCAATCTCATTTCATTATCGATCGACCGCCCAAGGAAATTGTGTTCCCGTTGAATACTAACTATAATAATGATTCCATTTGGAAAGTGGGTTTGTGTCGTAGCTAAGCTAAGCCAGCTTCGTAATGCGAGGATCGAATAGGACTCGATATTTAATTTTTGGATAAAAATCGAAATTGCATATATAGGGTGGAGATCGAAAATGACATATATCGTTTGGTGTGAATCGGATGACTATTCATCTCGACTGTAACGTAATCATGTAATGTAAAAATGTTGAGCGCGTCTCAAATATACAATTGTTGTGTGAGACAATAGTTGGTGTAGCCTGCGCTGTTCTGGGTTAGACTGAGACACATAGGATCGTGATTTTGTGCAAAGATTTTAAATCCGACCCTGTAACCAAAACTTTTATGCGAATGAATTTTAAGAAACATTGATCTATGGCTAAGCAACCTTAATTAATGAATTGAGCTATAAATCCTAATTTGGTTATATGTACTTTTTATTTGAAACATATTCCCCTATCATTTTAAGGACTATGGAGGATGCCAAAGAACCTTTGCGTCGAGAGAGATCTATACCGCGTTGCACCTTTTCGTAATTCAGCTAACAGTACTTGTTTCCATCGTTCAAGTCAGCTAAAAGACCAAATTCATGTGCTCGAATTCTATCTTAATTTGTTGACATTATCTGTTACAGTTAAAATCAACCTCGCCTCGACTTCAAGAAGTCAAAGGTGCATTTATTGAGTTCAAACACAGGAGCTTCCTCTCCGAAAAGCATAAATGTAATTGAATATAGTATAATTCGTTTGAACTTTTGATTATATATATCTACACAGTAGGTTTTGCTTGTGTACGTCCTGCAGGAATGGACATGACACCCCATTATCGAACAAAACACAAGTCCAAACATGGCTGTTTTGTCAAATGCAATCAATCTAATCATAAATTAGATAAAATTAAGAATTTCTCTCGTTGTTAATTAACCTTATTTTTACTCAACGTCAAAGATGAAGGTGACAGGCTTCAAGAAGTCCCTGTAAACATGCAAATGTGATAAACTAAGCAATCAATATGGAAATTGTTAGTAAATCAAGCGAATGACGCATATGTTGTCTTACCTCAGATCTCATTGGGCATTGTTTCCATTCCCAACAGCTTGCTGGTTGAGGTGAAGCAGGCAACCAGCAAGCTGCTAGGAATGGAAACAATGCTAGGAGGTGAAGCAGGCAACCAGCAACCAGCTGGGAATGGAAACAATGCCCAATGAGATCTGAGGTATTCATACATCGTTTTGTCAAGTTCATTTTACACGACGCTTGAGTCTTGACTGTTACATTGATTGTGTGTCTCTATCCCTATCGATGCAGGTCGTACGAGGATGGAACAAGAAGACCGGAGTGTCCCTATCCCTATCGATGTAGCTATCTTACTATCTTAGACATTTCTATAGACGAAGGTATCCCACTTAAATCAACTTAGAGCATCGAATACAGCTTAAGTCTCGTTTTGATGCGTATATCCGAATTTCCCAGTGGGTTGGACTAACGGTAGGATGTTGATTCAAACCCAGAAAACGATATCAGAATCGTTGCAGTTTGTTGTATTTTCATAATTCCTACTCTCGGGAAAAGCTTATTCGAATCAAAAGAGCAGTGAACGAGGAAAATGACTGAGATACAAACCTTTGTCTTTGATCAAAGGATTCAGGTTCAGCGGTAGCTCGTCGTCCATCCACTTTGAGAGCTCATTTCATTGATGATTACCCATTAGCCTGTGTAAGAGCAACAAACTATTAGAGCGAGATCTAAATCAAACAAGATCCAGAGGAAAGACCCTTCTGAGAGAACACTAAGAGATCTAGAAACAAAGGGTCAAGTCAAGTCTTTTGATTTGGTACAACGAACCAGGAAGACATTCATCCCTCGCCTTTGAAAACATGAACAGAATCAGAGGCAAACAGCAAGAAGAGGAAATTTTCATCACAGCTTCGATCCGACAAGGAAACCAATCAAAGTTCGTAACTTTTCCCCCATAACTAAGCCTAACCAATCGATTCAAAAAGAGGAAATCAAATGGCAGTAGACAAATTGTATAATGAGGCAGAGAGACGAAGAAACCAAATCACAACACCAAAATAAACCCTATCTCCACCAAATCATCTTGGACCCAACAAAAAAAAATCAATGAAAAAAAAACCATTCCAACAATTAGATCTAACAACAAAACCAAAAGATTGCAACTTTGTAGACATCTTCAACCAAATCAATCTTTAAGCTACAAGAACAATAAAAAGAAAAGGACTTTGAATGATTCAGACTTACCCCAAAAACCGCAGAGGATGAGGCAGAGAGATGAGCAACTCGACCACACCGGGAAGAGGAGAGGGAGGAGAGCTATCCGGCAATAGACAGAGAAACATGGAGCCAGCGAGACAACGGCAGCCGCAGTAGAAGGGCTACCGGCGGCGGCTATGAAGAAGGGGAAAACACGGGTATTCCCATGGAGAAAAAAGAAGGGAAGAAAGGGGAGCGGCTGAAATGAGGATAGAAGTAGACCAGAGGGATAGGGTTAGAGAGATGGCATAGAGGTAGGGTTGCTTTTCTTCGGTTTCCGATCGTATTGTTTTATTGTTAATTTGTTATCATTAAATTTTAGTTTTTATCTTATCTTATCTTAATCTTAAATCTTAAATCTTAAAATATATTAAAGCAGATTGAAAATATGACCCCTTCCACGTAAGCCTCCAAAGCTTCTCCGCAATTCTCGGTTTTATGAGGGTTTTAATATTTAAAAAAACAAATTCCCCTTAAACCGTTTCCTCGCCAACTGATTTTTTTCCCTCCCACTATTTTTTCTCTCTCTACCTCAAACTTATCTGTTCATCTTTTTTCCTAAGTTAATTTTTATGGTTAGTTATACTAGAATTTTGGTTCAGATGTGATTCAACCGTTTCATACCGCTAAAATCATATATAATTTGGAGTCTTATTTTTAGAAAAGTAGTACGAATGTATTGACCAACCGGTCGAAAGGAAATATTGGATAACAAATTTTAGTACCATGAATTTAGTATCTTGGTCCGGACGGTGGTTCAACCGTTTCATACCGCTATTTTGAAACAAACTTAACAGTTTGTTTGGTTATCTCATCATTAATAAACAATATTTTATAATATGAACTTTTTTTCATAACAAATAGACATTTCACTTATCATATACAACTCAAACATTAGATATTGAGAACAAACATACATTCATGTATCAAGTATAAATAATAAATTTGATTGACAAATTTGGACTTAAATTTCAACATTTCATAGTGATATTTTTTAAACCTCCTAGAAGGATATGATTACAAATAAGAGAGTTCGAATTATCATATTTCTATATGATAAATGTTGGTAGATTTTTTTAAAAATTAATGTCACATGTAAGAGGGCAAGGGATTTCGTTTACTCTTTTGCCTGATTTGGAGAAGGTGTAAAAATAAATTATAAAAATGAACATATCGGCAATTTCTGATAAGCCTATCGGCAATTTCTGATATTCCATAAATAATATTTGACTTCTTTTCTTCCTAGAAAAATGAATATGTAAAAATAAATTATAAAAACAATGATTGAATTACGATCCAATAAACCTAAATTGAAAAACGTTGTAATAATGTTCTTGAAAATTAATTGTAAAAACACAAATGACTTAAAATAATTAAAGTATGCATTTAAATTATTCTATCGATAAGATAAAATGCAAAACTCACCCGGCCAGCAGGCCGGGCACAAATCTAGTTTATTTATAGAACAAACAAATCAACGGTTGGTTGGCTGGCTGGCTGGTTGAAGAAAACGAGATCCATGGAGTGGGTTGTTTTGGTCAAAAAAAAAATGGAGTGGGTTGTTAAAATAGGAAGATTATGATAAATCTCTTTCTATTATCACTTATGAGTTATGACTTAATGAGAGGTGTTTTGTCAAAACCATTGTTATAAGTTATAACTTAGAAGAACCGAGGATCAATTTTTAGATAGTACAACTAATAAACCAATTATAATTGTGGTTCGGTCCATTTGATTGGAAGGTTAGTGATGAATCCAACGGTTTGACATAAATCCATATGAACTGTTCTGGTTTGACTGGTTCACAATTTTAACCATAAAAAATTAAGAAAATAGATTTAACGTAAATTACGATCATTTAACCACAAATCACTACTTTTATTTATGCTTCATTTTCTCCATTTTCGAGCCTCCTTAGCTTATGTCGTCCACTATGGATTGCCATCCTGATTACTAATTTGAATTAAATATAAAAAAATTGTGAGATAGTTTGAATACTTTGTTATAATTTTTTTTATAGATGATATGACTTTGAATTTCTTTAAGGTTAGTGATAATTTGACTCCTAAAATTAGTGTACTATACATGTATTTTATGTTATAGCACATGAACGGTTGTTTCAACGATTAACAAACGGTTATATAACTATTAACAATTGAAGCATCAACCACCAACTTCTAACTTTTTTTCAATTCACCTTCATGATTCTAAAAATATTATTCAAAAGAAAAAGCGAACCTAGGGTAAATTTTACCGATCTATTCTTCTCTGTATACTTGTACTTTCTGTTCTGTGATTTTTTTTTCCTACCACCAATCACGCTATTCCTATTTCTGTCTTTTATATTTTCTTTTGCACCCCACCAATGAGAAGTGGTCAGACCATCTCCATCCCTGTAATAGGATAGCAATTTCATAAGTGGACCCTACAGTCACATTAGCAACTTTAGCAATTATTCACTTCAATCATTTCAAACCAACTACATCTCTGCAATAGGTTAGCAATTGCAATTGATGGGACCTACTACATATTATTTTCTTTAACAATACTTTTGCATAATAGATAATAGACTTTTGAAAATTCAATAAACACAATATATAGCATACACCAAAAAGAAATAAAGAAAAATTACATAAAGAAATACAAAAATACCAAAAAGAAAATTTCGTGTGGGTTTGTATTTTGCATAAATTTGTTTGCTTTCTTGATGTAACAGGAATGGTGTGTACTTTTAGTGTGATTTCTTTCTAGTTTTGTGCATGATCTTCATCATTAACTATACATCTTTATAATAAGTTTTCATGTTCAATATAATTAAAATATAATTTATGATTTATAATTTATTAACAACTTAAACAAATCATAAGCACAAAAATATCAAATTTAACAATTTGTGTGTTCAAAGTGGGTAGAAAAGAAATAAAGAAAAAAAGAAAGATTTTGAGTGCATAAATGTGGGGTCCAATTGTCTATGTGGCATTGCAAGAAGGATTGCTTATTTAGCAATCTTGCTAAATAAGCAATAAGTCTCACATCCTTGCAATTGCTTAAAGCAATTGCCACATGGGATTCCACCCAGTAAACAATTGCAATAAGCAATTGGATGGAGATGGTCTCAGAGGCGTGACGGATGGAGGAACAACTGAGAGATGAAAGACAATGCCTGTAGGTTTCCTCGGTTTTATTTATTTGTTTTATTTTTTTCACTTTGTATTTTATTTCTCTTTTAAAAGAACGAGACAAAACAAAGGTTACTTATTATTATTAATACTACTATTATTATTATGTTTCCTTATTTACTTCAAATTTAAAACATAGCACATTTTTCTTTCCAATAATATTGAATTAGTTAATCCCTATCCCCTGGAATACATTCTGTGACTATACAAACTATTTAGACATCATTTGGTATTTCATATTTACAATTGTTAGGATGGATGCATTCTATGAATATGTGCATTATAAAATTGGATCCAATTGAGATAAAATTGGATCAAAATGAAATGAAATATGAGGAATAGAATCAAACCAAAAGCATGTTCAGCTCATTTGATTTGACTATACCCAATTCAAATTTAATATCAGTTCACTCATATTTCATACATCAAATAATTTGTAGGATGGAAATCGAATCAAAATGTATTATATCTGAATCTATATAATTAAATCATGTGTAGACTGCATTATGAGCCCTCAAGTTTTAAGCCTAAGTTACCTATAGAATTATGGGATGAATGTGTAAGACATGCAGGTTTTCTCATTACTCGAGTTTTCATTATCGTTTTTTATAATAAAAATCCCATACGAAACAATCTACAACAAGCCAGTCATTCCTACATATCTTAAAGTTTTTGCATGTTTTTTATTTGCTACCACTCTCGGCAATCACAAAACAAAGTTTCAACCTAGAGACAGAAATGAAATTTCCTATGTTTTAATCCACGCATCAAGGGTTACAAAATTTATTTCAACATTGAAGAACCACACTTGAGAAGTAGTTACTTTGCCACATAAGAAGAGAGCTATTGGTATCAAGTGGGTCTTTAGAGTTAACTTTCATTGTGATGTCTGCATAGACATACACAAAGCTCAATTAGTGGCCAAAGTTTATAGTCAACAAGAAGGGATTGACTATCAAGGCACATTTGCTCTTTTCATTAAAATGACAACATTCAGGATGCTCCTAGGCATTATTCTGCAAGAAATTGGTTTGTCCATCAACTAGACATCAACAACGCATTTCTTCATGGTGATTTGACTGAATAAGTTTACATAAAGCTCCCTCTGGGTTATCAAGCTCATGCTCACATTCCAAATCGGTTTGCCTCTTTAAGAAATCTTAGTGTGGTCTCAAACAACCTTCATTATAGTGCTTCTCTAAGTTAGTTGATTCTCTCCACACTCAAGGTTACTCTCCACTAGAGTTGATCATTCTCTATTCTTCAAGGTTACCTTTACTCCTTACACATGCATATTGGTTTACTCCTTACACATTCAACATCAAAGACGTGGGCAATTTGCAGTATTTTTTTGGGTACAGAAGTTACAAGAACCAAATATGGCATTCATTTATCACAAAGGAAATACATCTGGAAAATTCTTTATGAGGTTGACCTCCTACACGGAAGACCTGTATCTATTCATATGGACTACAATGAACATCTTTCTAGCTACCAAAACCGAGCCTTTTTTCTTGTCAAGATCTATAGAGAAAATTAGTTTGCAAACTGGTCTACCTCCCCACATGTAAACCTAATATCAACTATGCAACCCAAAAAGTTAGTTAGTTCATATCTAATCCCAACAATTATCACTTCCAGGCTATTCTCCGAATACTGAGATATCTCAAGACCAATCCTTCCATTGGTATTTTGTTTCCCTCTTCTTCACCTCTTCATCTCAAAGACTTTAGCGATTCAAACTGGGTTGTCCGTCCCGACACAAGGCGTTCTGTCACCGGTTACTACATATGTCTTGGTAAATGGTAATGCCTTGGTGTCCTAGAAATGCAAGAAGCAAAACACAGTTTCTCATTCCTTATGTGAAGCAGAATACAGAGCGTTGACTTACACAACCCGTGAGATGCAATGGCTTCTCTACTTACTTCATGACTTCCAAGTTTCCCATCCACAACCTGCCACAATCTTCTATGACAAACAATATGCTCTGTGCATTGCAGAGAACCCTACCTTTCATGAACACATCAAGCATATCGAGATAGACTACCACTTAGTTTGTGAAAAGCTTTAGGCACAAGTTGTCTAACTTCTTCATGTCTCTTCTGAACATTCAAAATTATGTAAATTCTACTTCCTTCTCATCAACTGAGATCGAAC